AGGAACACAAGGCACGAGGGCACTGGAGCTCGGGCCGTGCACCCCTCCTCTACCCCCCGTTCCCCTTCCCATGCTCCTACTTAGCACGCTAGGGTGAGATAGCGGTTCTCTGGCCGCCGTCTTTTTGCCCCCGCGTTTTCGGCCAACACGCCCATTGCACCGCCATTTGTGCTTTCATGCGGCACCCTGGCGAGGTACGAGCTGGAATGCCCATCTTTGTCGATGAACAGGCGCTTGCGTCTGCGAATCAGCTCAGTTTCGGCCCGTTTGGGACGGGCTCGCGTCGTTTATAGAGCAGTTGCAGGCGCGGCCCCCCGACAAAACAACGCAAGAGGGCACTGGATCTCGGTCGTGCACCCCCATTCTATCTCCCCTCCTCACCCCACGTTCCTGCTCAAGACGCTGGGGTGAGACTGCGGTTCTCTGGCCGCCGCCACCTTGCCCCCGTGGCTTCGGCCACCACGCCCACCGCAGCGCCATCTGTGCCTTCGTGCGGCATCCTGGTGAGGTGCGAGCTGCTGTGCCCTTCCCTGTCGATGAACGAGCGCTGGCGTCCGAGTGTCGGCTCAGTTTCGGCTTGGTGAGACGGGCTCGCGTCGTTCATACAGCCGCTGCAGTCGCGGCACCCCGAACGAAACAAGGCCAGAGGTCACTGGAGCTCGGGCCGTGCACCCCTCCTCCACCCCCCTGCCTTCTCCCGCGCTCCTACTTAGGACGGCAGGCTGAGACAGCGCGTCTCCGGCCGCCGTCACTTTGCCCCGGTGGTTTCGGCCAGCACGCCCACTGCACCGCCGCTGTGCCTTCATGAGGCACTCTTGGTGAGGTGCAAGCTGGAATGTCCATCCCTGTCGTTGAACAGACGTCGGCAACTGAGCTTCAGCTCAGCCTTGGCTTGCTCGGACGGCCTCGCGTCGTTCACACAGCCGTTGCAGGCGCGCCCCCCCCCCCAGCAAGACAATGTATGAGGGCACTGGAGCTCGGCCGTGCACCCCCAGCCCCTCGATCCCCCCTCCTCACCCCACGCTCCTGCTTGGGACGCCGGGGGGAGATAGCGGTTCTCTGGCCACCGTCCTCCTGCCCCCGTGGCTGAGGCCAGCACGCCCACTGCACCGCCACTGCGCCTTCATGGAGCAATCTGGCGGGGTACGAGCTGGAATGCCCATGCTTGTCGAGGAGCAGACGTCGGCAGCTCGGCCTCAGCTCAGCCTTGCTCTGCTTGGACGGCCTCGCGTCGTTCACACAGCGGTCGCAGGCGTAGCGCTTCAACAAATAAGGCAAGAGGGCACTGGAGCTCGGCCGCGCACCCCCACTCTACACCTATTCCTCACCCCGCGCTCGTGCTCAGGACACTCGGGTGAAGTAGCGGTTCTTTGGCCGCCGTCACTTTGCTCCACGCGCCCATTGCACCGCCATTGCGCCTTCATGCGGCACCTTGGTGAGGCGCGAGTTGGGATGCCCTTCCTTGTCGATGAACAGGCGTTGGCGTGCGAGTGTCAGCTCAGTTTCGGCTTGCTGGGACGGGCTCGAGTCGTCCACACAGCCGCTGCAGGCGCGACACCCATAACCTAGCGAGGCCAGAGGTCACTGGAGCTCGGGCCGCTCACCCCCACTCGATACCCATGCCTCGCCCCGCGTTCCTGCTTCGGACATTAGCGTGAGATAGCGGTTCTCCTGGCGGCGCCTCCGGCGCCGCCCCTGGCGCGCTCCGCGCGCCAGGGAGGGGCCAGGCAGGGGGGTCCAGCGCCGATCCGAGAAATCCGCGCGGACCTCCGAGTATTTATGTTTATGTCACTTTTTGTTCACCTAACTTTGCCTCCGTGGCTTCGGCCAGCACGCCCATTGCACCGCCATTGCGCTTTCATGCGGCACCTTGGCGAGGTGTAAGCTGGGATGCCTTGTCTCGTCGATGAACAGGCGTTGGCGTCCGAGTTTCAGCTCAGTTTCGGCTTTCTCTGGCCGCCGTCACTTAGCCTCCCGTGGCTTACGCTAGCACAGCCATTGCACCGCCATTGCGCCTTCATGCGGCATCCTGCCGAGGCGCGAGCTGGAATGCCCATCCCTGTCGATGATCAGGCGTCGGCAACTGAGCTCCAGCTCAGCTTTGTCCTGCTTGGACGGCCTCGCGTCGTTCATGCAGCCGCTGCAGGCGCGGCACCTCACCAAAACAAGGCGAGAGGGCACTGGAGTTTGGGCCGTGCACCCCTCCTCTACCCCCCTTTCCCCCTCCCACGCTCCTACTTAGGACGCTAGGGTGTGATAGCGGTTCCCCGACCGCCGTCCTTTTGCCTCCGCGGTTTCGGCCAGCACGCCCACTGCACCGCCACAGAGCCTTCATGTGGTATTCTGGTGATGTACGGGCCGGTATGCCCATCCTTGCCGATGAACAGGCGTGGCGTCCGAGTGTCAGTTCAAATGTGGTGCGAGTTGGGATGCCCACCCCTGTCCACGAACAGGCGTTGGCATCCGCGTGTCAGTTCATCTCTGGCCTGTTTGGACGGCCCCGATTCGTCCATAAAACCGTTGCAGGCGCGGCACCCATGATCTAGCGAGGCCAGAGGCCATTGGAACCCAGGCCGCTCACCCCTCTTCCCTCCTCTTCCCCGCTCTCTCTCCCCTTTCCCATGACCCGCCGCTCTCCTCCCCACGCCCGTGCCCCCCTCCCTCCGTGTCGGTTTCCTCTCAGTGGTGTTCCGCTGCCTGCTCCACCCCGCGTGGCAGCCCTCGTCGTGTCCTCTTTCGGGTGAAGCAGGCCCTCGGGCGAGCGCGTGGACCTGCAGGTGCGGGTCCCGGGGGCGTCGGCACAACAGGCCGGCCCACGGGCGCAGCAGGGCGGGACCACCGAAGACAGGCTGCGTAGCTCGTTGTGCCAACATTGCAGGCTTCCTACAGCCAGCCTGGGACCACCGAGGACAGGCTTCATAGCTTCATAGCTCTATTGGACCTCCTCGTACTTTCTAGCTCCAGGTTGTGCCAATCATGCATGCGATGGCGTGTGGGGCACTCCAAAAAATGGCCTTGGCCTCGCGAGTAGCAGGAGTTGTCGTCTCTTCCGCGGCGCAAAGGCCACGGAAAGGCGGCGCAAGTAAAACGAGGCCGCCTCCGCCGGCGGAAGCTCGGCGGAAGGCGGCGGAAGTAAAAAATGCGCCCCCCAAGAGATAAAAACGTTTTTGGGTTCAGGGTTTTCGAAATCGCCCATATGAGGTTCTGCTAGTGTTTATCAGGATTCGGGCGATCGCTTCGCGCCTACATCTGATAATTGATTATCTAGTGCGTTCGCTGTTCACCACGGTCCAGCCACGGCACATCAGCATACATCCTCAAGCTCCCCACACGCACACAGCGGTTGTCCCCCCAGCCCCGCTTCATCCAGTCCTCGGTTGTTGGAAGCACAGCATCGTTGAAGGGGACAGGTGAGGGGGGAAGTGGTATTTATAAAAGAAGCAGGTGGGTACATGTCCGAATTGCCAAAGGGCTTCGCTAACAAGTGTGGTGCCAATGAGTTCATGCAGCCTTGGAAGGTGCCAAGATGCATTTCCACGCTGGAGACGCAGTGCCTGGGCCACGGCGCCCAGGTTTTTTTGATTCGTTGGCCCAGCCCGTGCGGCCTGGATCCAGATGGCTCCAGACCATCTGCTACACAGGCCACTGTGCCTTACAGGTGGTGAATCCAGGAAATTGGCCCCACACTCAGGATTACGGCGCCCAAAAGCCATATTACCTCAAGTCCTCCTCCCTCTTCCCACCGTCGGTGGCGTTCAACCTCATTTCCACCCACCCGCCCTTCCACTCCTCCTCCCCCGCCCCCTCATCCTCCTGTTCCACCTGTTCCTCCTCCTCCTTCTCCTCATCTTTCTTCTTCTCCTCCTCCTCCTCCTCCTCCTCCTCCTCCTCCTCCCCTCCTCCTCCCCTCCGCTCCTCCTCTCCTCCTCTTCCTCCTCCTCCTCCTCCTCTTCTCTTCCCTCCTCATGTTCCTCCTCCTCTCCTCCTCCTCCTCCTCCTCCTCGCCCTCCTCCTCCTCCTCCTCCTCCTCCCATCCTCACCCTCCTCCTCCTCCTCCTCCTCCTCCTCCCTCCTCCTCCTCCTCCTCCTCCTCCTCCTCCTCCTCCTCCTCCTCCATAAATTACACATTGTTCATTTCGTTGATTTTTGGGGGCCGCAGAAGCGCCCCCCCCACTTTGGGGCATCGTCGCTCTCAGGATGTATCGAGCGGGAGCCCCGTTTCTGTTTTGAGAAAGCCAGCGGGTGCTTTCCATCAGCCCCGCCTTGTGTGGAGATTCTCCGGGGAGCCCAACGAGCTAGACATGGAGCCACGACTCCAGACCAGCCCAGACCTCTCGAAGACGATCCATTCACCCTCCAAGGAATCCGACGCCATGCCATGACATGGTGTGCGGTGTTGTGTTCTGCGCCGCTGTGAGATGCCATGTTTTGTGTTGCAATGTTTTGTGATGCAGTTCTTCACTGCGCAATGCCACACCATGCTATGGCATGCTACGCTCTGCCGTGCTCTTCTACGCCATGCCATGCCTTCGCCCACCATGCATCGCGTATCCTCTCGCGAACGTTACCCTGCTCGACATCCGACTGCGAATAGAGAGTATATCTACGCTATTGTAAGGGATGGGAGGGAGGGGTAAGACGTCAGATATGACGCGAGCGCACCTAGTTCGTCCTCCTCCCCCTCCTCCTCCTACTCGGCACCATCCCCTCGCTCTCCTCCCCCCCATCCCCTCCCTCCCCCTCCCCCCTCCCTCCCCCTCCACCCTCCCCCCCGCCCTACTTGGAACCAGCCCATCCCCTGCCCCCCTCCTCCCCATCCCCCCTCCCTGCCCTCCCCCCCCCCCCCTCCCATCCCCCCCGACCCTCCGCTCCCCTCCCTCCCCTCCCCTCCCCCCCCTCCCCTCCCTGCCCCTCCCCCCCCTCCCCCCCCCCCCACCCCCTCCCATCCCCGCCGACCCGCCCATGAGGCCTGCCCAACCCGGACCGCGCTTCCCCCCGAGGACTGTCGCCGCCCCTGCGCCGGCCCTACCTGATCGTGGGCCTCGAGGGCAGGGGCCTCGGCGGCCCATCGCTCACGGCGCCCGTTTTCGCGAGCGGGGGGGGAGGGGAGGCAAAAAGAGGGAGGAGGAGGAGGAGGAGGAGGAGGAGGAGGAGGAGGAGGAGGAGGAGGAGGAGGAAGAGGCAGCAGGAGGAGGAGGAGGAGAAAGAGGCAGGAGGAGGAGGAGGAGGAGGAGGAGGAGGAGGGGAAGGAGGAGGTGGAGGACGAGGGGAAGGAGGAGGAGGAGGAGGAGGAGGAGGAGGAGGAGGAGGAGGAGGAGGAGGAGGAGGAGGAGGAGGAGGAGTGGGAGGAGGGGGAGGAGGGGGAAGAGGGCAAGCTAGGTGCGTTCGCATCATATCTGACGTCCTACCCCTCCCTCCCATCCCTCCCCTCCCTCCCTCCTCTCTATTCGCACAGTCTGATGTCGAGCAGGGCAGTGATCCCGAGAGGGTGCGCGATGCATCGTAGAGCACGGCATGGCAGGGCGTAAAAGAGCACGGCAAAGCGTAGTATGTCATAGCATTGCGTGGCGTTGTGTAGTGAAGAAGTGGGTCACAAAGCATTGCAACGCAAATAATGGCATCGCACAGCGGTGCATGACAGAGCATGGCATAGCATGGCGTTGAAGATCAAAGCGTAGCATGGCATATAATGGCATAGCATGGCATAGCACGGCGTGGCACGGCGTGGCACGGCGTAGTTAAGCATTGCATGTCTTATCATTGCAGCTGAAGGCATGGCATCGCACAGTGGAACACCACATAGCATTGCATTGCATGCCGTGGCATGGCACTGGAAATAATGACGCCAGCGCTGCAGCGGGAGCTCGATTCGGAACGAGCGGAAGAGAGGAAATGAGGCCAGCGCTGCAGCGGGAGCACGGTTCGGAACGAGCGGAAGCGCGGAAATGAGGCCAGCGTTGCAGCAGGAGCACGATTCGGAACGAGCGGAAGCGCGGAAATGAAACCAGCGTTCCAGCGGGAGCAACATTGTGGAAAAAACCACGAAAACCCAATTCCCAGGAATCTTGTGCGCAAAAAACAGTACGCGGAGGAAGCCGAACATCTTCTCGTCACCGTCAGGGGAGAGGAGAGTAGTATTCATATTTTGCAATTGTGGAGGAGGGGGAGGAGGAAGAGGAAAAGGAAAATGAGAAGGAGAAGGAGAAGGGGAGGGAGATGGTGTTTTGCGCCATAGGCCAGTGGGGCCCTTCTACCGCGTCAGCACAACGGTTCCCGTCACCACGCCCACCACCACCGCCGCCGCGGCATCGTCCTCTACGACCGCCACGGCCGTGACAGCGACCCCGGCAGCGGCTGCGAGCAGGGCCACGTTGACAGCCACGCCCACGACGGGCAGCGGCCGGGCGATTCGCCTTCACGGCGACCACGGCCGCGACCCCCGACGACGCGGCTCCCGCCCCCCCCTTCCTCCACCCTCCGCCCCCGCTGCCCCTTACTGGCCGCCCCTGCTCGTGTTTCGCTACCCCCCACTCCTCCTCCTCCTCCTCCTCCTCCTCCTCCTCCTCCTCCTCCTCCTCCTCCTCCTCCTCCTCCTCTTCCTCCTCCTCCTCCTCCTGCTCCTGCCTCCTCCTCCTCCTCCTCCTCCTCCTCCTCCTCCTGCTCCTCCTCCTGCGCCTCCTGCGCCTCCTCCTCCTCCTCCTGCCCCCTCCTCCTCATCCTCCTCCTCCTCCTGTTCCTCAAGCTCCTCCCCTCTCTCCTCCTCCTCCTCCTCCTCCTCCTCCTCCTCCTCATCATCATCATCATCATCATCATCATCATCATCATCATCATCATCATCATCATCATCATCATTATCCTGCTCCTGCTCCTGCTCCTGCTCCTCCTCCTCGTCCTATCAACAGGCAATGGCGCCGTATAGCCATAACCATACCTATACGACCACCCTTCGGGTGATAAGGAGGTTGTGGGGGGGGAGAGGAGGGGAACCAACATCTGACTCAATCGATCTCACTATCGACCTCACTCAACGGGACACCACGGGACGCCACCGGACACCACTGGACACCTCTCGATCACATTATCGGTCTCACTATCGATCTCACTATCGATCTCACTCAAAGGGACGCCACGGGACACCACGGGACAACTCAGGACACCACATCGATCGCACTATCGATCTCACTATCGATCTCACTCAACGGAACACCACGGGACACCTGTCGATCTCACTATCGATCTCACTTTTTGGGTCACCACGGGACACCTCGGGGCACCACATCGATCTCACTATCGATCTCACTAACGATCTCACTCAACGGGACACCACGGGACACCTGTCGATCTCACTACCGATCTCACTATCGATCTCCCTTTTTGGGACACCACGGGACACTTCGGGACACCACATCGATCTCACTATCGATCTCACTATCGATCTCACTCAGCGGGATACCACGGGACACCGCGAGCCATCGCCGGACGGACGGACGGATGGGCGGGCGGGGGAGAATCATTTATCTTGACTTCGCCCTAGCCACGGCTGACACCACGGGACAGCACGGGACAACGCGGGACAACGCGAGCCACCGCCGGACGGGCGGGAGGGGGATAATCATTTGTTTTGATTTCGCCCTAGCAAAAGCGGACACCACGGGACACCACGGGACACTGCGGGGCCACCGCCGGACGGGCGGGGGGGGGGGGGGGGGAAATCATTTGTCTTGACTTCGCCCTAGCAACGGCGGGTTCATTCTTCTCGCGCGCCCACGAAGCGTCGCCTCGCCCGCACGCACGACACGAACGAAACGAAACGATTTCCCGGTTTGGGGTCTCCGTTCCACTGCGATCTCACCCCCCAACCTCCGATCGACGCGTAGGCGTGTGGGCGCGGGAATGTGCAACATTTCCTTGCTTTCTCGGCGTACCTTTGCTCCTGGCCGAAGGCTGTCCAGGGCACGCCAGCACCTGGAGACTTGTGGTTCGTGGATCATGGGCTTCTTCCAGGGTGGAGCAACAGTTTTTTCAACGAAAAAGCCAGGCCACGACCGCCACCGGGCCAGGCAGCAAAGAGGCTTGGTCCAAGCGGCGGCCAGCCAGGGACCTTAGACCACAGCCGCAATGACCGAGGGACCCCTGCGTAATTAACAGGTGGGGGGACCGACTGGGAGCCGGCGGTAAACCGTCAACGGGGTCACCGCCGGGACCCTCGTAGAGCTCCTTGCACGCGCAGCAATGCTGGGAATGCAAGGAGAAAGCTTTCTTGAGTATCAGCTCGAAAACTCGAAATCCGAAGTCGGTTCCGCCAAGTGTTTTGGTTGTAATACTGCAGCTACGGACCTGAGAATTTCATTAGCGAAAACGACATAACCTACTACAGGTACAAAAAACTTGGTTCTCAAAACAAATTGCCAAATCTCTTACACTGTTCGCCCAACCGACCCACAGTTCACTCATTGTCCGCCCTGGCCGGGTCCGTCAACTAGCTCCACCCTGCGCCCGAATTCCTCCAGCTCATCGCACCGAAGAGCTCTACGAGGAATGTAGAAACATGCAGGACATCTAACCAGAGGGCTCCTGCGTAACAGGTGGAGGGACCCTGCGTAACAGGTGGAGGGACCGACTCGGGCGCCCCCAGGCCGGAGGAGGAGAGAGGGGGGAGGAGGAGAAAGGGACGAGGGAGGAGGTAGGAGGGAGGAGGAAAGAGGGAGGAGTGGGGGGAGGAGGGAGGAGGAGGAGGGAGGAGGATGGAGGAGGGGGAGCGGGGAGGAGGGCTCCTTCCCCTCCTCCTCCTCCTCCTCCTCCTCCTCCTCCTCCTCCTCCTCCTCCTCCTCCTCCTCCTCCTCCTCCTCCTCCTCCTCCTCTTCCTCCTCCTTCCTCCTCCTCTCTCCTCCTCCTCGTCTCCTCCCTCCTCCTCCTCCTCCTCCTCCTCCTCCTCCTCCTCCTCCTCCTCCTCCTCCTCCTCCTCCTCCTCCTCCTCCTCCTCCTCCTCCTCCCCCTCCTTGTCGCCAGGGCCGGAGTCGCCTCGCTTCTTGGCCAGAGCGCACCCCCAACGGAGATCGGGGGAGAAGCGGTGGTACCGGTGCCTTTCAGTTGGCCCACTCCCAGAGTACGTCCCCCTTGCGGAGGGGGCCCAGGCCCCCAACGTTTCGAGAAACTCAAGGCGGAGGCTTGTCCCAGTTTTCGGCCTCCCAGGGCCTACCGCGGAACACAGTTCGGGGTGAAGGGCTGGCCCCGGGGCAAAGGTCCAGGCCTCCGGGGGGGCCCGCATTAAGAGATTCAAGACATCGAATTTCTGGGCTTGACGTGGGCGCTCCAAAGTCGAGCGCCGCAGGAAAAGTTGTTCGGCTGCAGTGGTACCTCGCGGGGGGGTTCCTCGTGGCCGCGGCTGGGCGCAGCTCGAAAGGCCTGTCGGGATGGCGAGCATGAGTGGGCCTGGAGTCGACTTGGCAGTTCGAGGCTGGACGTCCTGGATGGGCCTGGTCTGGGGTGCGTAATGCACCGACGCCACTCGTTTGTGTCAAGCGGGAAATAATCGAGGCTTCTCCTATTCATCAACGTCCCTTCCACCATCATCATGTCGGTCACCATCCCTGCTTCTCATCATCGGCATCATCGTTCATGTCTCTCCTCCGCTTCCTCCCCCACCGGATGCCATGGCGGAGGCGTCCTTTTGCTCACTCTTCCCAGCCTTCGGGTCAGCAAGTCCCGCTCGGCAGGGTCATCGCCTGCGTGTGCACGAGGATTGGCCTGGCCAAGATCGGCGCAGGTGAGCAAACGGTGCCGTCCTGAATCAGACACGGGCCGAGGGGAGCGGAGGAGAACGAGGAGTGCCGCGCCAAGGCCAAGAGTTCCTGGCCGACGACCTCCAGAGCAGCCAGCCCGCGCGGTTCACCTTCGAGGTGTCGCGGCTGCAGAGCAACTTGCAGATCTACTGCTACAGGAGACTTGCGGCTTCACATTTCCTGCCCCGCACGGAGGAGGATCGAGGATGGGAGATAGACGTGGTCGCCCCAGACACCTCCTGGAGTCCCCTGGGGGGGTCTCATGCCCCGGGAGGTCTCGGGAGGCCCTGTCTGAGCCCCACGCGGCCGCAGGAGGCACCTGTAGGCCTGTAGGCCTCGGGAGACTCCCCAGGGGACCCCCGGGGCCTCTTGCCCCCGTTCCCGCCTCTGCTGCTGCCGCCGGCCGGCTGGACACGCGCACACGTGCGGGCCCTCGCCCGCGAAGGGCGGGCGATGACGACCACGACCACGACCACGACGACGACGACGACGACGACGACGACGACGACGACGACGACGACGACGACGATGGCGACGGCGACGGCGACGGCGACGGCGACGGCGACGGCGACGGCGACGGCGACGGCGACGTCGGCGACGGCGACGGCGACGGCGACGGCGACGGCGACGGCGACGCCACCACCACCACCACCACGACGACGACGACGACCACGACCTCGATGACCACGATGACGACCACGACGACCACCACGACCACCACCACGACGACGATCGTTACAACCGACTGCGCTCTTCGCTGCGCATGTTATGGCCATGTCTACCACCCTTGCTGCCAAGCAAGGTGGCGGGCGTTGCATTCACAGCTGGCCCCATCGGGGCCTCGCAGGAGTTTGAAACGACAGTCTTTGACGCACGTCCAACACGAAAACCTACTTGTCTTTGTTGTGCCAGGTCCTAGCGGCCTGCGTCTTACAGGATTCCCGCGAGAGATTACCCGAATTTCGTTGTCTTCCCCTCCATGCTACCCTCCAATCTCCAGCTGTTGGCAGGCCACCACCCCTGTGGTCCCTAAGCGGCGATCAAGCGTTAGGGTATTTGATTGACCTTGACAGTTGCGTAGATAGATGGGCTGTGCCGATGGGATTACGACAGTTTTTGGCGCTTTGGGATCCTTGTCTGAACGGGTGACATTGTTATGGACTGTACGCTACAAAATCCCACCACACTCACTGACCCGAGTCAGTGATGCGCTTCTGTCACGGTATGCAGCCTTTTCTGTTCTCATCGAGTTGTTTTTTCCCGGAAAGGGCATAGGCCCAGGGTTCTCTTTTCCTATGTAAACATATCCCCCCGTGCCCAACTTGAAGGAGGCCGGCGGATTCTTTCCCTGATAAATATCGAGGTCGAAGGAGGCCGGCGGATTAAAATTCGAGGATGTCACAGGCGAAACGCTTGTTTTTGAAATCCCGATCGATAAATCACAGGGTGCGGGCCACCTCAGCACGACCACACCCCAGCACGACCACACCCCAGCACGACCACGCCCCAGCACGACCACGCCCCAGCACGACCACACCCCAGCACCACCACACCCCAGCACGACCACACCCCAGCACGACCACACCCCAGCACGATCACACCCCCCAGCACGACCCGATCGATAAATCACAGGGTGCGACCACCCCAGCACGACCACACCCCAGCACCACCACACCCCAGCACGACTCCACCCCAGCACGACCACGCCCCAGCACGACCGCACCCCAGCACGACCACACCCCAGCACGACCCCACCCTAGCACGACCCCACCCCAGCACGACCCCACCCTAGCACGACCACACCCCAGCACGACCACCCCCCAGCACGACCCCACCCCAGCACGCACGAACCACACCCCAGCACGACCACACCCCAGCACGACCACACCCCAGACCACACCCCAGCACGACCCCACCCCAGCAAGACAACACCCCAGCACGACACCACACCCCAGCACGACCTCATCACAGCACGACCACAACCCAGCAGCACGACCACGCCCCAGCACGACCACGCCCCCACGACCACGCCCCAGCACGACCACCCCCCAGCACGACCACCCCCCCCAGCACGACCACCCCCCAGCACCACCACCCCCCACACGACACGACCCACACCCCAGCACGACCACACCCCAGCACGACCACACCCAGTCGCACCCCCGTGGAATGTTTCATGGGTGTCTGGTTGAGTGGTTGCCTGTTCGTGGGGTGTCTCGTGGAATGTTTCACGGGGTGTCTCGTGGAATGTTTCGTGAGGTGTCTCGTGGAATGTTTCGTGAGGTGTCTCGTGGGATGTTTCGCGGGGTGTCTCGTGGGATGTTTCGTGAGGTGTCGCCCAGGTGGGTATCGTGAAAACGTGACCATGCTGCACATGTCTATATCCCTTTCCGGGTTCGTGGGTCCATCATGTTCTTGAATTGCAGAGTTGCCAGTGGTTATCCACCACTGTCTTCATTAGGTTTGCGAGGGGCCATGCAATGTAAGGATGCCGAGCTCGAGGGTTCCGCCAGGCGTGCCACTGTCTTGGCCGCAATTGCACGGTACGCGAGTTGCTTGAGTTTCTTGCAGCGCCTTCGGCAGTAAGTAACCTTGTGAACAGGGGAAGGTCTCTTCTGTTCCAGCCACACGTTTGTTACCCTTTCTTTGCTCTAGAGCCCACCCACTGTAAGCGATGGTACCCTAGTGTTGGCCAGCCCGCTGCCTGAGTGGGTCCGCGAAGTTTGGCGTTGGCGGCAGTTCATGCCCCTTTGCGTTCCTGCTGCTGCTGCCTGCTTCGTTTTTCGCGCAGCGGTCTTCTCGTCTTTTCTCGTCCTGCGGCGACGACTCGCCGCCTCATCGATCGACCCACCGACCGAGGAGAAGGAGGGGATGCACTGCCCACGGAGGGAGGAGAGAGGGAGGTCCAGGTCAGGAACGGAAAGGAAGGATGAAGGAGCATGCGAGTGACGACGTCCAACAAACGAGTGGGGGGAGAGAGAAGAGGAGGAGGAGGAGGAGGAGGAGGAGGAGGAGGAGGAAGAGGACGAGGAGGAGGAGGCGGAGGACCAGTGTACACCCAAGAGTCATCAACGATGTTGGAATACACCCTCCCTCCAAGCTCCCTCTTCACAGGCTCCTACAAGAGTTCATTTACACTGAGGCAAGTGCCCCGTTTGGGGACAGCCGTGTAAAAATCCCGAAGCGTGCCAAAACACCACTCGCAGGGCCTCAACGCCGCGAGTTGAATCCTGGCGACTCGGAACTGTGCCAGAACACTATTCTTGGGATGCCAACACCGCGAATCAACGTAACTAATGCGCCCTGAGAATCATGAACCGGTCCAAATCACCATTTCTGGTACGTTGGCCATGGGAACTTGTGGAACTCCTTCAGAAGTTCAAGCCGAATGCGCGCGGCGCCAAGGCGAAAGCCACATTTTGAAAACGACCCGCCCTCCATCCGCGAAGCTACTCCAAGCTTTTATGACGAATGCGCGCGGCGCTGAGGCGAGAGCCACATGTTGAAAACGACCCGCCCCCAGTGCGTGAAATTCTTGCAAAATGTTAGCACGAACGTGCGCGGCGCTGAGGCGACAGCCACATGCTGAAAACGACCCACCCTCAATCCGCGAAGCGCTCGCAAAATTGTATGACGAACGTGCGCGGCGTTACGGCGAGAGCTACATGTTGAAAACGACGTGCCCTCAATCCGTGCAGCGCTTGCAAGAATTCAGCAAAACATTGCGCGGCGCCAGAGCGAGAGCCACAGTTTGAAAACGGCTCGCCCTCAATCCGTCAAGCTCTTTGCACATGTTGGAGACGAACGTGCGCGGCGTCAGGGCGAGAGCCACACTTTGAAAACAACCCGCCCTCGATGTGTGCAAATATTACAAGCTTGTATGACGAATGCGCGCGTCGCTAAGGCGAGAGCCGCATTTTGGAAACGATCCGCCCCCAATCCATGAAGCCCTTGCACTACAGCGAGTGTGCGCGGCGCTAAAGGCGAGAGCAACATTTTGGAAGCGGCCCGCCCTCCATTTGCAGGCGAAACGCGCAGCCCGCTCTTTCGACCAGCCTCGGGGTGCGACAGGGAGGAGTGATTCAGAAGGAAAGGAGATGGAGGAGGAAAAGGAGGAGAAGGAGGAGGCAAGCTAGGTGCGATCACGTGATATCTGACGTCCTACCCCTCCCTCCCACCACTTACCATGGCGCAGATCTCCTCTCTATTCGCACAGTCGGATGTCGAGCAGGGCAAGGATCCCAAGAGGGTGCGCGATGCATCTTAGAACACCTCATAGCAGGTCGTCGAAGAGCACGGCAGAGCGTAGTATGCCATGGCATGGCGTGGCGCTGCGTAGTGAAGAATTGCATCACAAAGCATTGAAAAGCAAAACAAGGTATCGCACAGCGGCACAGACAGAACATGGCATAGCATGGCGTTGAAGATCAAAGCGTGGCATGGCATAGCATGGCGTGGCACTGCGTAGTCAAGCACGGCATATCCGAGCATTGTAGCTGAAGGCATGGCATCACACAGCGGAACAACACATAGCATTGCATTGCATGCCGCGGCACGGCACTGGAAATGATGACGCCAGCGCTGCAGCGGGAGCACGATTCGGAACGAGCGGAAGCGCGGAAATGAGGCCAGTGCTGCAGCGGGAGCACGATTCGTAACGAGAGGAAGCGCAGAAATGAGGCCAGCGCTGCAGCGGGAACACGTTTCGGAACCAGCGAAAGCCCGAACATGAGACCAGCGCTTCAGTGGGATTAACATTAAAAACAAAAACGACTCCCGGGAATCCAATGTAAAAAATCATGAGGCGGAGGGCGGTCGAACATCTTCCGGACGTCATCAGGGGAGAGGGGAGAGTAGTATTCATATTGTTTAATTGTGGAGGACAAGAAGGGTGACGAGGACGAGGACGAGACAGGAGGAGAAGGGATGGTGAGGAGGAGGAGGAGGAGGAGGAGGAGGAGGAAGAGGACAAGGACGAGGACGAGGACGATGACGAGAAAGGAAGATAAAGAGGAGGAGGAGGAGGAGAAGGAGGAGGAGGAGGAGGAGGGGGAACCCGTAGCCATTTTGGCTCAAATGCAAATCCGTGGCCTTGCGGCTTCGTACTTGCCTGCAGCCGAGGGACTGGCTCGAGGCGAGCTGCCCACAGCAGTTGTCTTTCTCTCTTAATCTCCACGGCGAGCCCTCGTGCGGTCGTGGATGCCTCTTGTCCGTGTACCATCGGCACTGGCACCGCACTCTGCAGCGGGAGCTAGGCCGCAGTCACCATTCCCCTTTCGCCATTGATGGCGGCCTTCTGGTCAGGGGCGACAGCTGCGGGTGTGCGAAGAATTGGAGCTGGTGGAGATGGTGCACACGCTGCAAAGGTCCACCGGAGCCAGTCGAGGAGCATCCTGCTCGTCCTCCTCGCCTTGGGCGCGGTGCTCGCTCGCCTGCTGGGCGGGACTAGCCCCCGTGGGCACAGCGAGGCGACCACTCACCAGCGGCAGGCTCCGCGGCCGAGAGGGCACCTGGTGGCAGCCGAGCTCGGCGGCCCTCCCGTGTCTCCCTCTCGCTGGAGGCCGAAGTCGTTGGCGGCGGCGGCCAGGCGAGCTCCAAGACCGATGCCGAGGAAGAGCGCCTGGACAGGCTGGTGGAGCTCCGCACCCTCGTGGGAGATGGCGAGGCAGCGGAATCCTGCCTGGCCAAGCTGGGGGCTCACCGCCGCCGCAAGCAGGACTCGGCTGTCTCGGCTGAGCTGGCGAAGACCAAGCGCGGGCAGGCTGAGGAGAAGCTCCGCCAGTCCACCGCCAAGTGTGAGCGAGTGGAGCAACCTCTCGTGGACGCCAACCCTGAGGTCGAGTCGGGCTCCAAATCCTTGGATGGGGCCAGGGGCAAATGCCAGTCTGCTGCCCGCCGTCTGCACACGATCGGCATCGATGATGCGTCCGCCGACCGCGGCCCCCCGATAGTTGGACCTGTCCAGGCTACTGGACAGAGCCGACCTGGAGCTCGATGACGGGGGGCGTTTCGGCCTGGAGCAGCTCGGAGACGGCGCGGGAGACGAGGATCGCAAAGAGGCGGCTCGTCGCAGAGCACAGTCGCAGGGGCAGCTCAAGCAGGCTGTGGGCACCCGCTTCGGCGACCTCCGCAAGAGGGCGACCGCCACCACCCAGGCGCAGGAGGCCCAGGCCAAGCGGCCGGCGGCGAAGAGCGGCCCAGGGCCGACGCGCCAGCCGAGGGGGCGCCTGCGGCAGCCGCCTCCAGCGGTGACGGCCGCGCCGCTTGCGGGCAGGAGGGGCCTCGGGCGCCTGCGGCGGCGGGGCCGGGCCAGCGGGGCGGCGCCTGCGGCTGAGGCCCCCGCAGCCAAGGCGGCGCCCAGGCCGTCAGCCGCCAGCTCGGCCGTCCAGGCGGCAAGGGCCAAGCTGGACGCCAAGAGAAGGCCATGGCTGGAGGAGGTGAGGACGGCGCACAGAGCGGGTTGAGCGTGATCCGTCATCCTGCCAACCACAGCGACGACCGTCACCCGGTTGTGAGAGCTACGCCGTCGAGTGCTAGGCGGGTGAGGTCACAGGTAATGCTACGAGGTGCTGGAGCTCAGGGGTGGGATGGTGCGTTGCGCGACCATGAGCTTCGAGATAGCCAGCATCGCCTACTACTACAGGGCGGGGCCTACGAATGCCACCGTACTCGAGCTCGACATGGGGCTGCTGATGCGCGCGGAGGTCCTCGTCGGCAGCCGCCTGAGCCGCCCGCGCCGCAGCCGCGACTAAGTGTGGCGGCTGTAGGATCTCTTCACCCTGTCAAGAGGACGGCCTCGACGGGACTGCGGCTCGACCCATCCAGGGCTTGCCAGATGATGGAACCCCTGGCTATATATCACAAGGATGTGGTCCTGAACTGGGCCCAGGCCACCTGGGAGGGCAGGCCGTCTTTAAGTGTCATGCAGCGCGCCCTAGAGTCGGCTTTCGAGGTATTGGGTGGTCGCAACTTCTCTTGGGGAGCCGCTCGGTCTCTGGTGCACGTTTTATTTTGACCCTCAGAGACCTCGGTTGGCGCATCGCGAAGGCCAGGCCACTGCAGACTGAGAAGGGCATGCCGAGCAACTTGCTTGCATTGGCCCCAGGGCAAGTTGACTGGCTAGCCCAGCGTGCCTCTCGAATTTGTTCGGGCGGTGCGGCTCTTCAGGCGCGTGCTGGCTCTCTGATCTGGTCCAGGCCCATCATGTGTAAGCCGCTCCTATGTTTGCTTGGAAGGGTCGAAGGTGGCTTGGGACCCCCGCAGGCAGGAGGCCTTGCGGAGTTGTGCGTCTCCCAGTGCCACTGGCATCAGGAGAAATTGCACAGCAGGGATATGCTGACTTGCCAATATGCAAGCCTTGCGGGCCGGCGACTGGCACGCTGGTCCACAGGCGCTACCGAGGAGAGGCGAGCCAGGTACAGCGAGCGACTTGCGGCAGTCTTCTGCTCATGAGTTGCATGTGTTACTGTGAAGTCTGGCACCCAGACCTAGAGAAGGCCGCTGCTGGCATACTCCCCCTCGTCCCCGAGCTGGCCCCTTCCCCCCCTCTGGTCAGCAGCGAGGCTGGAGTGTGCTGGGTCAACCGCCCCGCCGACGGGGGGGCGGTCGCATTTTCCCACCGATGAGTATATGGCCGCCCTCGGATGCGTCACGGGGCCAGCGATATTCCATGTCGGTTGTGTTGCCGCAGTGAGTGCTGCCAGATCGCCTAAGGTGGCGGTCAGTGCAGCATGCAGGCGGGCTTACATGTGGACGCGTTTCCTTCATGCCGATCTCTCGGATCCCTAGCATGATGAACGGGTCGCCCTCACCACCCTGCTCGGTCATACGCTGGGCATGGCCACTGTGTTTGGTCCAATTGGTGGGCGTGTGGTTGGCGGGGGGACCGCCTTTGTGTGTCTGGAGCGGGGGGGGTACAGTTGGGGGGCGGTTAATTCCTTTAGCCGCCCCTGCACCCCGCCCACCATTGCACTGAAGCAACGGCTTGGCCGTGCCAGGAAAGGCAGTCACCCATCCTGGGGCCCGCAGTACAAAGGGTGGAAGACAAGCCCAATGAGGCCAGCCACCCCAGCGGGTGTGGCCATCCTGGCCACCACGTCTTATGCCGACCTCCAAGCCCTGGGTGGCGGGAGGGCGGGCACGTGGTCGTCGTCGTCGTCGTCGTGGGGGGGAGCGGTGGAGTGAGCACGCGGGCGCTGCCTGCCTCGGCCTCACGCCCGCGCAGCTGGCGGACAAGGCCGCCCGCCTCCACAGGGAGGTCAGGGAAGTGAGGTGGGAGGTTTGAGGGGCCTGCCCTCCCGCTAGTGGCGTAGGTGGCTGGCGCCCCCAGGAACGCCACCCAGTGGGAGGGGCTGGTCTTGCGCGGGCTGAGGTGAGTCACTGACCTCCTCCGCCATGGGAAATATAAGTACAGGAGCAGGGGGAAGGAGGAGGCGGAGGAGGAGGAGGAGGGCAAGCAGGAGGAAAAGGAGGAGGCGGAGGAGGAGGGGGAAGAGGAGGAGGAGGAGGAGGAGGAGGAGGAGGAGGAGGAGGACCACGACGGCGACCTCCTGACGGGGAGGCGGAGAGAGAAACGGACTGCCCCCAGCGACGGCGCGACTGGTGGTGCTCGCCCCAGCGCTCGGGGCTGCGGGGCGGGGTGGTGTCTGCGCCTGGAGGCGCCGTGTCCAGGTCCTCCGCCTCCACGCCCTCCCCCTCCAGGGCCTCTTCGTCTACGCAGGTGGTCTCCGCCTTCCAGGTCCTCCGCCTCCAGGTGCTCCGCCTCCACGCCCTCTGCGTCCACGTCCTCCGCCTCCAGGTCCTCCGCCTCCAGGTCCATGCCATCCAGATCCTCTACCTCCAGATCATCTCAGGACGCAGTTCTGGAGAAGGGGCATGGGGGCTCCACCCGCACGAGCGGTCCAACCAGGCCCGTGCGGGGACAGCTCGCGACGGGACCCTGCGCGAGGCCTCCTCTGAGCCAGGGCCGGCCGTCTGTAATGGCCAGCTTTGGGTGGGCCCTGGCGTGCAGAAAGGGCTGTCCAGGTCATCTGCGTCTCGGCCCTCCTGCAGCAGGTCATCCCCTTCGCTCCCCCAGGTCCTCCTGACGAAGCTGGCACTGCGGGCGGCTCCAGGCCGATGGCGGGGCACCCTCCTCTCGGGAGCCAAGTCCCACATGTGTTTGCACTCGAGGCGGCCCAGCAGGAAGAGGTAGAATAAAGGGACCAAACACCGTTGGTGGGCGTCCTTGGTGCTGGGGCTGTGCAGCGGTGGTGGTGAGTGGCCCAGGCATGGGCTACACCCTCCCGAGGGAGAGGGAAGGGCCCACCTCGGCAAGTCCTCCTCCTCCTCCTCCTCCTCGCCCTTCTGTGCTCCTTCCTGCTTCTCCTGCTCCTGCTCCTGCTCCTCCTGGTCCTGCTCCTACTCCTCCTCCTCCTCCTCCTCCGCTCTTCTGGGGCTCCCCCCCCTCGCGCGGACTTCAACAATTTGCAGTGGGAAGCAGAATGCAGGACTGTAACATTGGAGCCTTGAATCTGCAAGTGGCGCAGGGCGCAGCAACCCTCATCCTCGCAGCCTGGTGGCCCCACAAGGGGGCCGGCGGATTCCGCTCATCGTAAAGCAGAGTTTCTTATTTCTTACCCTACACATGTATTTGTAGTCTCTTATTCCTCCTCCTCTTCCTCCTCCTTCTCCTCCTCTTCCTTCTCCTCCTGCTTATCCTTCTCCTTCTCCCCCTCTTCCTCCTCCTCCCCGGGGAGAGAGAGGGAGAGAGAGAGAGAGAGATAAAGTGAGAATGATAAATAGTAAGAGAAAAAGAGAGAAGATAACTAGAGAGAGAGAGAGAGAGAGGTTTCCCACCAGCCTCCCCTCCATATCCAGAGGTTCGTGAGGTGAGGAGAGGAGAGGAGTGTGTTCGCGCTGGCGCCTGCTCATCCTCCTTGTTCTTCCACCTCCCCCTGCTCCTCCTCCTCATCATCATCATCATCATCATCAGCATCAGCATCAGCATCAGCATCATCATCATCATCATCATTGTCATCACAGTCATCATCACCGTCGTCATCTCCCTGTCAATCGTCATCCCCATCTTCATCGTCACCACCACCGTCATCGTCATCACCACAACCAACATGTTAACTCATCAGTATCTTCATTATGTTACTGGTCATCATCATCGTCGTCGTTATCATTCCTGATCTTCCTCCTCCGCCGCTCATCATTCCCCTGCCCTCTCCACCTTCCCCTTCCTCTTTATCCTCCGCATCCTCCTCCTTCTCCCCCCCATCCTGGCTGTTTCCCCTCCTGTTCCCCGAGCCGCATTCTCCGTATGATTTCCTTGTCTTCCGTCTGTTGTGATATAAAATGGTGCGCAGCACCGATGGTTTTTGTCCAAAGCGAGCGCGGCTCGAGCGATCTGCGTAGCTCTACGGCAAAGGGCCCCAACATTGTTTGGGCCGAGGCAGGCAGCGGGAGACAGGATGATAGCAGCAATAGCCAGGACAGAGAGTGAGGCGGAAGCTCGGCGGAAGGACGATCGACATGCTATCGAACCGACCGAAATCAGACTCCTCCTGTTTGTCGCCACGGGCAGCATGGGCGACGAAAGCTGCAACTGCAGTTCGGAAGCAACTTCATTACCTCGGATCGAATTACCTAGATAATTCGGCGGCAGCGAGGGTGCGGGGCATTGTACTTCTCACAAGAGAGGGGGCAGGCAAAAGGCTTGACAAGGCTTGCAGCAGGAAGCCTCGGGTTATTGCTGGATGCGCTACACAAACCTGCGAACAACGAATTCTCACCTCGGCGCGGCGGGCGCTTGGCAAGCACTGATCACTGTGCGATGAGATGGGCAGCGAAGGCGTCGGTGTGGTCGTCACCACGTCAAAAAATTGTGCACACTGAATATGAAGCTTTTGGCTAGCATGCGGATGTGTAAATCTGGACCCCCCGCAAAAAATTGCGCAATGCGGACTTAGGTGAGCGGGGTCGAAATCATTCATTCGGCTTTCGCGGGCTTGTGGCAGACCTTCGTAGTCGGACAGCTCCCGGTGGGCTGCCTCCAGCAGTGGGCGAACTCCCACCTCAGCGTGTAGTGCATCCGCGAGAAGTCCAGTTCGTGTTCCCTGTAGTTGCGCACGAACCAGGATGCGTGCTTCCTGTAGGTCTTGCAAGTGACGTAGATGCTGTGGTGGTTGTGTCCGACTCGATGGTTGTGCGATGCGACCGCACAGGCGTTCACTTCCAGCGGCGCCACCGTAGGCGTAGATCCGTTCCAGGAAACCACACTCGTACTCGATAAACTGGTAACGGAAACTACGCTTGGTGATGACTGCGCAGGTGGTCCACTCCCCAGTACCGATGCCGTCGGTAGACTCGAAGGTGGTGCTCCAGACGGTGGGCTCGGAGCCGGTACTGCTGCGCTGGCGCTGGCGCTGGCTGCCGACGAGCTTGATGCCTGGCGATTGCCTGGACCGTCCACAGGCGGCATGATGAAGTCACCGTCGTGATTTTGCTCCTCTTAGATGGTCGGCTGTCTCGTTGGGTTGTTTCGGCTGCCCAGACGTCGTCTGTCCCAACTTGGATGTTCACCGTCCTTTGCCTTGGACTCTGATGCCGGCGGAGGCTCGCACAGCGAGAGCAGGTGGTTCTGCCTCAGAACCGCCCACATGCTTGCGAAGATGCCGCATCCGATGACCATGCCGAGAAAGAAGGCAAAGCAGGTGATGTAGCACGTGTAGCAGTAGAACATGAAATCGTTGGGCGGAGTAGGCGATGGCGTAGGACCCTGCCGAGGCAGGTGAACAGGACCGAGGCAAGCATGGCGCTGTTCGGCTGCCGGGTGTCGTAGGTGTGCTTGCGGGCCCCGAAGAAGGAGAGCAGCGCGCCAGCCTCCATCGCCTTCGTCAAGGCGTTTGCGACCATGACCCAGGTTGGAACCCAACTGAACCGCATGTCGCTGTTCGGATGTACGGCCTCCTTGATCATGGAGGCGGTGATGCGGAACCGCTTGTCCGTAGACTGGCCCACATCGGACTGGATGTGCGTCACAAGGCCCTTGCCAGGTCGCCTGTCCGCGAGCTCGTCGATTAGCTTGAGCAGCTCCTTGGGGTTGTAGGCCTCGGCCAGCAGCTGGCAGAACCAGGTGTTGGCCTCCGCTCCCTCGAGGGTCGCGTAGACCTCCGCGGCGAGGGTCGACTGGTGCCTGAGTGCCAGGACGCGGGCAAGCACAGGTCGAAACGGCCCCCGACGACGTCCCGGGGACGATGTGTGAGCCCCATCGCCATGCCCCAGTGGTTCTTGACCCCGTCCACGTTCGCGAACGCGGCGTCGCTGAAGCACACGGTGGTGCACGTCATCAGATCGACGAGGTTCCGCATGAGCACGATCGTGCAGTTCGCGCTGGAGTGCACGTAGGCGACGGCCTTGTTCAGCGTCTTGGCGTCGGCCACAGTGGGGGCATTCATGCGGCGAGCGGCGAAGCTCACTTGGCAGGCGATGTCAACCCAATTCTGGACTGCCAGCCACAGCACTTGCCCGGACGTGCGTCGGTAGCTCGACACTTCTGAGGTAGTGAGTCGATCCTCTGCACCTCGGCCTCGCTCGGCCTTGAAGTCTATGAAGTCCACCTGCGCGGCGGCGGTGGCCTGGATCACCCTGAACTCGTCGTCGAGATTTGTAATGGCGCGTCCGCGGTACTTGATGACCCCCTCGACCTTCTTGAGGTGCAGCTTCTTCTCCAGCGAGGCGATCGTGGATCTCCAGCGGCGGGAGTTGGCGCGCTGGGCGATCTGGAAGTCGCCCACGTGCGAGTGGATCATGGCGGCGAGCCCCTTCTCTTCGTAGAAGTAGTAGAGGCCCTTCTCGAGCTTGCTCTCAAAGAGGCCGTGCTCGGCGAAGACCTGCGCTTAGAGGCGCCGCTGTCGGCCCGCGTCACGCGCCCCGCAGATCGCGCCGGCGACCATCGCGATGTCGCCGGGCGGCGTCCGTGGCGGTGGGTTCTCGGCCGGCATGCGCAGGAGCAGCAGCCTCTCGATGTTCCCCGACTGCAAGTGGGCCGTCGTCGCGTCGTGGGACCCGAGGCCCTCACCCTTTCTCCTCCTCCTCCTCCTCCTCCTCCTCCTCCTCCTCCTCCTCCTCCTCCTCCCCCTCCTCCTCCTCTCCCTCCTCCTCCTGCTCCTCCTCCTCCTGCTCCTCCTCCTCCTCCTCCTCCTCCTCCTCCTCCCCTCCTCCTCCTCCTCCTCTCCTCCCTCCCTGCTCCCCTCCTCCTCTCCTCCTCCCCCTCCTCCTCCTCCTCCTCCTCCTCCTCCTCCTCCTCCTCCTCCTCCTCCTCCTCCTCCTCCCCCTCCTGCTCCTCCTCCCTCCTCCTCCTCCTCCTCCTCCCTCCTCCTCCTCCTCCTCCTCCTCCTCCCCCTCCTCCTCCCCTCCCTCCTCCTCCTCCCCCTCCTCTCCTCCTCCTCCCCTCTCCTCCTCCTCCTCCTCCTTCTCCTCCTCCCTCCTCCTCCCCCTCCTCTCCCTCCCTCCTCCTCCTCCTCCTCCTCCTCCTCCTCCTCCTCCTCCTCCTCCTCCTCCTCCTGGGGGGTGTGCCGCCTGGCGCGGGAGAGCACGCGCTAGGCCTGAGCCGCAGC